CATGGACATGCATCTGGCATTAGTTTCAAGGCACTGGGTCCAGTTCTTCAACAGCAGTTGGCAATGGAAATCCACCACCATAGCCACTATGCTACCTGCTGGCTCCGGCCAACGTTCCTTTATAATGATAAGACAGGAGTGAGATCAGCTTATCCCAATCGAAAAATAGACTGATTTTGTCACAGCCTGTATGTAATCATAAGGTGAGTTGCAGTTCTCATCAGTAGAAATAACTGAAAGAAGTTCCATGTGAAAATACCAAATCAGTGACGAAAAGAGGACAGAGGGCCAACGTACCAAATAGAAACATATTCAAGATAAATAAGATGGGGACCAGCAGATGATATATAGTGGTTGTGTTACTGGACTCCCCACTGGCAACAGCGGTTCGAGTCCTAGACATGGCGACTTGAAACTCATGCCAAGCAAGTGTGCATGTCCCAAAATCCCAAGAGGAGAAAAGAAGAAAAGAAATTATGGCATGGCCAACCCCCTTGGATGATTTTTACCTTTCCCTTTTGCTGTCTCTATCTCTCTCCTTATCTGGCTAGCACAAAAATCAATAACCTACACACTGAGGCAAAAATCTCTTAAAATAAATAAATAAATAAATAAAAATAAGTAAATAGATAGATAGATAAATAGATAAATAAATAAAATGCAGTTAGAAACACACCATCAAATAGTCGTGAAACCCCAACTATGAAGTAACAAATGTAATTACATAAAGAAATAGATTTTAAGCATGCCAATCTTATCTCTATATTTGCCTGCAACAAGTTGAAATAGGACCAGGATTGGGGTCTGCAAATGGCATTGTGATTACATCACTGGACTCTCACATGGCCAACCATGTTTCAAGTCCCAGATCTAGTCACTTAAAAACACACCGGACTCGTGTGCATGCATGATCAAGCTCCCAGGAGAATGATAGAGAAGAGATTGCAGTTTGGTCATCCCCCTGGGAAGTGATTTCTCACTTTTTCCCTGATTAACTCTGTCTCTCTCTCTCTCTCTCTTGTCTCTGTCAAGTGCACACACTCTAAGGCAAAACAAACAAACAAAAAACTCTTAAAAAATGAAATAGGATGAAGATGTTCAAAGGAAGGTTTTTGTTTGTTTCCCCTACAGGCACTTTCACTTAATTATTGAGTTCCATTCCTACGACTAGGTCATTAAGTGAAAAGTCGTCAGTAAATGAGAAGTTAAAAGACACCACAGAATATGTATTTGTCAATAGATGTCATGTAATCCCACAGTAGAATAATATAATAATTCTACCCATACAAAAAGCATGTGATGAGACACCACAGAACAATAATACGAATCCACTGTAATCCTTTTCATTTATTCTGAATACAGTATTATGGGTGCACAATAAAGTACAGATTTAAAAAAACAAAAACAAAAACATAGTTTCATGCTATTGTGAATGCTTCCTGTAGTGAGTCCTAACTGACTGCGGGACAAGTCAAAGAAGTCTGAGTGTTTGTCGAACAGGTAAGTTATTTTTATTTATTTATTTATTTATTTATTTATTTATTTATTTTCTAGAGATATTTTTGCTATAAGGCACATGTGCTTATCAGAGAGACAGAAAGTAAGACATCACCTCCCGGGGGGTGGCCATGTTGCAATCCCTTCCTCTTCATTCTCCTCTCAGAATTTTGGGCACATACACATAAGCAACCATTACAAGTTTTAAGTCCCCGTGTCCAAGACTGGAAACGATCAAGTTCAGCAATGTAACCATTATGCCATCTGCTGGTCCCAAACAGGTAGGCTATTAAGAGAGGAATAGCTAGATTAAATAATGTTTAGAATGCTTTTTTGGGGGAGAGTTTTTTTGTTTGTTTGTTTTGTTTGTTTGTTTTTTTCTGCTATAGGGCTCTTGTTTGTTTGTTTTGTTTGTTTGTTTTTTTTCTGCTATAGGGCTCTGTGCCCTCGCCAGACAGAAGAGAGAGACAGAAGGACAGAAAGCGAGAAATCACCCCTCAGGGAGGATGGCCACACCACAATCCCTTCTCCTCCATTCTCCTCTCGGGATCTTGGGCATGCATGCATGCACACGCGCCCAGCATGAGTTTAAGCCACCAGGTCCGGGACGCGAACCGCAGTCAACTATGTGGGAGTCCAGCAACATAGCCATTACGCTAACTACTGGTCCCTAGAATGCTTATTTTTGAGGTGGCTTATATTTCATTTTCAATCAACTATATATTTTTTTCCTGATCTGTGATTAGGCAACTTAATACAAATTAAAAACTCTAGATGTTTGTCAGCAGGAAATATATCTTAATTTTCTTAAAAGTTAACCTAGGAACAGAACGTTCTTCTTCTGAATAAGGATCTCACTACCAAGTATGCAGAAAAGAGCAAGTGTAGCACTTTTGTCACATGACACATTATTTTTTTTTTAAGGTTTGTATTTTCTGAGTCTAGATGAACTATGGGACTAAAATTAAAATCACAAATCTGTATCAATTTTCAAGGATCAAAAATTAATAGCCAGAAAGACTTTAGCTCTTTCTGAAAGTAATTCTCCACAATCAACTGTTTGTTCTTAACTGACAAGAGACTTCTCTCCACAGTGGGAGCTCTGTGCTGATGAGGGACGGCAGAAGTGGATGAGTCTATCCAAACAAATGGAGTTCTTTTTTTTTTTTTTCTTTTTTGGAGAGGTTTTCACTGTAGGGCACGTGCGCTTGCCAGACAGACAAGAGAGAGACATAGAGACAGAAAGCAAGAAATCACCCCCCAGGGGGGATGGCTACACCACAATCCCTTCTCCTCCATTCTCCTCTCCGGATCTTGGGCACGCATGCACACGCGCTCGGCGTGAGTTTTAAGCCAGCGGGTTCTCGGACGCAAACCGTAGTCGACTATGTGGGAGTCCAGCGACATAGCCATTACGCTAACTGCTGGTTCCCCAAACAAATGGAGTTTTGAAATTTGACTGGAGTGATTGAAGAGAAGCAGTCTTATAGACATAGTGTGTGTGAAAGAGGAGGGTCTGAAGAAGGACATTTGGAGGAGGGACAGGGAGGCAAAGCATTAATGGCACAAAGAGGAGTGGTATTATCGTTTGAAGATATTTCATAGTTTTATCAACAGTACTTGGAAGAAATGTTCACCTGTTGAAATATCCATTTTGTAAGACAAATAATAATGTGATTGAATGTATGGAAGAAAATGAAATGAAAATAAATAAAATAAATAAAATAAATTAAAAATAAAGAAATTAAATTGGCACATAAGAGAAGATCTACCCACAATGAGAATAACTGATCCTATTTTAAGACCAGTTGATATTCAAGGAAATAAAAAAAAATTGCAGAATTAGTGACTTTCTGAGAAAAAGAATTGACCAAAATGTTTACAATGTAAAAATCACTGTTATAGATGACTCATTAAACTCTATAAAGGTAAGTTACAATTGTGGTTTAGACTGTGTTAAAGATATTTCTAAATATGAGAATCAAGATTCAAATAATATGAACATGAAATTCTTAAAACTTTATCCAAAAAGGAGTTTATGATATAAATCATTTACCTTTTAACTTTACATAAAACTACGGAAAATTAGATCTATGTCAAATAATAATAATGACATCAGTAATAAATATAATTCAAGAATTTAATAACTACTAATGGAAATGTGTACATATTAGAGAATATTTGATCAATTTTGTCAATGCAGTAATTCAAAAGCACCAACTGATGGGGCTAGAAGGTGTGCAGGCAGATTTGAGGAGACAGGGAAATATTGGGTGGTCAGGGAAGGCATGATGCATTTTTGCATAGAAAAACAGAAAAATACATCATGCCTTTTCTGACAATCCTATACCTCAGTAATTTGTTTTGAAAACTTGGGAAATAAACTCTGAGAAAGTGTAAAACAAATTGTCAAGCAACGCTGACTTGCTGACTTCATACAAGATGATATTAATATGAAGTGTAGCAAGACAGGGTTTTTAATTTTATTCTGTTTTGTTTGGATATTTGGTACCATTCGTATGCTTTGGCCACTTGTATGGTCAGAGGAAATAATAGTTAGGTTTTTTTTTTTTTAATTGTATTTATTATTATTATTATTTAATTTGACCACAGAGACAGAGAGATAGAATGAAAGTGAGGAAGCAAGCCACCAGGTCTGGGACTTGAACCATGGTTGGCCATGTGGGAGTCCAGCACCCCAACCACCACGCCACCTGCCAGCCCCGAAATAATAGTTAGGTTTAACCAAAGGTTACTACTATAAGGCAATATTAAGAGGTGAAAATAAAGAAAGAGAGCAGCATTTGATTATAAGGGGACTATAACACAATCTCACATGGATAAGGAGGGCTGTATAAGCAGTTTTGAAATGCATAGGCAATATTTTTTATTAAGTTAAAGGTTAATTAATATTTGTCATAGACCATAAAGGGAGTATTAACACTATGCTGAGTTTCATGTTTTCATATTTAGTATAAACAATAGGAGATATACATCAATTAGAACAAGAATAATGAATATAATTATTTCTTCACTTTAAGAAAAGTGATTTGCATGTGAATATAAAACATGACTTAGTACTCATTTTGTGTAAAAATTAAATAACAACTTCAATGAAAAACTTTTTCTTTGAATTAAAAGAATATGAAATATGACTACCAGTAGAAGGAAAATAAATCCAGACAAATCAATAAAAAGAACCGGTGTCATATGCCACTCATAATGAGGAAATAATGAGATACTATTTCTCCATAACATTCTCTGAATCATGGACACTTCCCATGCCTCTGGTATCACTACATTCAAATCTATAAAATACATTAGAATTATACTTCTTGAATTATGTTATCTCTAATATAAATTTCTTTCTGACATTTCTAACTTCATTTCCTAGTAATGGTAGAAATAACTTGAGAAAGCATATATGTATTTCATGCATCTTTTCCAGTTGATATAAGGAGAAAGGTTGGCTCAATATGTGAACGAATTAATCATTTAAATTTACCATATCTACAGATAAAGAACAAATTAAAGCAGAAAATTCAAATATCACTACAATGATGGACTTTGTTCTTTTGGGGTTTTCTGATACTCCCAATCTCCAACGGACACTTTTTGGTGTATTTTTACTCATATATTTGACTATCTTTGTGTGCAATAGCATCATAATAATAATTACAAAAATTAACTCTGATCTTCACACACCCATGTATTTTTTCCTTGGAAATTTTTCCTTTTTAGAAATCTGCTATGTAACAGTAACTATCCCAAGAATGCTCATGGACCTCTGGACTCAGAAAGGTCATATTTCTTTCCTTGCCTGTGCTATACAGATGGGTTTTTTCTTTATATTTGGAGGCACAGAGTGTCTCCTTCTGACAGTGATGGCCTACGACCGCTACGTGGCCATTTGTAACCCTCTCCATTATGCTCTGGTGATGAACCACAAGGTCTGTATCCAGCTGGTGGCTGCCTCCTGGATCACTGTAGTTCCAGTTGCAATCGGGCAAACATGGAAGGTTTTCTCTTTGCCCTTTTGTGCATCTCACACAATTGATCACTTCTTCTGTGATGTCCCACCAGTCCTCCAGCTTGCTTGTGATGACACATTTGTGAAAGAGGCAGCAGACTTTGTAGTTGCAGATACTGTGGTGTTCGTCATGGCTCCTTTGCTGTTGATTGGTGTCTCTTATGTCAAAATTATCTCCAACATTTTGAAATTGTCATCAGCCAGAGGGAGGTCTAAAGCATTTTCCACCTGCTCTTCTCACCTGACAGTTGTGGTGTTATTCTATGGGTCAGCCACCATCTCTTATTTGCAACCCAAACCAAATCAGTCTGAGGAAATGGGGAAGTTAATCTCTCTTTTCTACACCATTTTGATCCCAATTTTGAATCCAATCATATATACTCTGAGGAACAAAGATATCGAAAAGGCACTGAGAAAACTCCTAGCTAAGTTATTAGCATGAGGTAAAGCCTTGATTTATTGAAATAGTCTGTTTACAGGTTTGTCTTGTTGCTAGAATAGAAACAGATTGTTAGCTTTGTTTCCATGTTCCTAAATAATGATTAGGAAATTATAATGATGCTCCTACATTGTGTAAAGAGACCTTTTTTTCACAGAGCTTATTTAGGGGCCCCTGTGGAACCAAAGGACAGATAAGTTCCAGGGATAGGATCATATTTTGAAGATCCATCTTTCCTTCATGGTTAACTACTAGGTTGAGACTGAGCAATAGCACGTACGGTATTGATCTTTGCTGGAGAAGCAAGAGTTAGGGTCATGCTCTGTGATAAATTTTCTTTAACCCTCCCATTCCTTCAGATGGTTCAGCCATTCCCTGATCCCATGGTTGGATTTAACCAGTGAGATACTCTGCAAACAGCAAAAATGATGGAAACAGGAGATTCAAGTTCTTTAGTTCTTTCCACCCCTGCATTTATCTCTTCTCTGTCCATGTCATTAGAAGACTACAATCCTTAGGGATTACCATCCTCTATTATGCAGTTATAAAATTCTCCAGTAACATGATTCTCCCTGACTAACTTGGTGTATCAATTTAGTGCTGGAAGCATCTAAAATTCTCACCATCAACTGTTCTTTCTCATGTGTGGTGGGTGGAATCTTGACTCCTCAAAATATATCTTTATCTGACATCTTCATATGCATCATTCTTTCAACAAAAAGGATTTTTGTAGATGTAATTAATATAATTATTTTGAATGAGATCACTGTGATTTAGCACAGGACTAAGTCCAACATTAAGTGTTTATAAGGGATCAAGAGTTGAAAAGATTTTGAAAATTGACCCAGAGAATCAGAAAAGAATGTTATATGAAGGTGAAGAAATAGATTGCAGTGATTCTGCCCCATACCAAGGAAGGCTAAGAGCCACAGAAACCTGGAAGAGACGAAGGATTTTTCCTTACAGCCTTCTAATGGAGTGAGGCACTAAATGTCAACACCATGATAGTGGACACTGATCATGAGAACTGTGAGATACTAATTTTCTGTTGTTTTAAGCCATCCAATTTGTGGTAATTCAAGGTAGTTGTATGAAAACAGAACAGCACATAAATAGTACTCAAATTAGTTTTTTTTCTTATGTTATCTTTTCGTGAGCTTGATACTCTACCAGACACCACCTATTGTACTATTCCTCTTCCTCTTCAAATTTTGGATCTACTTTGGGTCATAATTTGGCATTATTTCTTTGGAAAGATAAATAAAAATGCTTGGTCTTTTCTTTAGAAACTGAATCAATGAAATCTTATCTTGGAGAAATATTATTTGTACAGTATGATAGACATGTATTTGTTTAAGTTATGCTTATAACTATTTTGGTTTTCTTTTGCATTGCTTTAACAATGCAAACAAAGTTACAAGCAAAGAGAAGGCACTCTCAGAATATATTAAGATACTGGAGCATGTCTACACCATATAATATCTCAAAGCCACTTAAGACAAAGTTTAAAAATAGTTCTATTGAGACATCTCTACCTTCCTAACATGT